CAGCTCCCGGTGCTGGGGAGAGGAGAGCGGGTCCTCTTCGCCGGGGTTACGGTGGTATAGCGGAGCGTTCCGGGAGAGATACCGAGCCCGGAAACTTTTGATTGCTGGTGTGGCGTAAAAGCACACTTATTTGGGCATATTTGTGACTCTGCGAGCCTGGTGCTTTCCTGCCTGGCTGGGGCTGCCCACCGTCCCCGGCAAACGCGCAGGCAGCGCCCCGCGGCCCGGTCGTGGGACGGTGGGCAGCGAGCCCAGCGTGTGAGAGCTGCCCGAAACAGCGTCCTTTTGCCTCGGAGGTGCTGGTGCGCGCCAGCCCTGGGCCTCCTCCATCAGCTCCTGCATCGCTTCGGTTCCTTTCTAATTTTTTTTTCTGCTCTGTTAGGGCAGGCAGGGTTTGAATGTGTCCGAAAAGGGAATTATGAAATACTGGTCCAAGGAAAGCTGCTACAGGACTGTTCTGCTTCTGTCAGGGTAAATCCAGGGGGACGATGGTGCTTGATGATGGCTAGAGAGAGGGGGGAGTGGAATAAGGATGGATATTGACAGAGCTATTTTATTACTTAAGGTGAATATCAATAATCCTTTTTTTATGATAGATTCAGGTATAGCTAAACTAGAAAATACCTTTTCCTCACGGAAACCTGTCTGTGTCACTGTGGAGTTAAAAGCAGCAGTGAGATCAGCACAGCCTTTTTATTCTAGTTTGCTTTTGTGCCTTATAGGAGACCCTTATAGCATTATGCAAAGTTAATAATGTAAATACAAGTTCTGCTTGTTTTTCTTTTATTTGGAAAATGTACTCCACCTAAAAATGAGATGATCTGTTCACCAAGTTTTTCAGCCCCCTTAGGGCCTGGTTCCTTCTGAGGAGAAAGGATGCCGTTCTAAAGTGTGCGAGAAATTACTTCCTGTGCTGTCAGGATGAAAGAACAGCTTGTGCCTTTTGCTATGAGAGCTGATAAAATTCGTGATTTTACTGTGCCTAATACCATATGTCGACTCCCTTCTCATGCCTGCACCCCCCCCCATATTTAGCTATTTCCCTGGGTGATCATTCTCTAGTACGACTTTCTAAACTCAATTATCTCCAACTAAATAATTCAAAGCCTAGTTTAAATTTAATTTTGTTCTGTCCCACTGGGAGAACTACAGAGAAAGATGGCTAAACAAGCAGGAGTTCTGAGAAATCTATCTGGCTTTTGAGCTGATGACCGATGTGGTATTGACAACAGATACTTTTCAAAGAACTTCTCCAAACATGGGTGTGCCATCAGGAATCTGCATAAAACAAACAAACAAAAAAAAACCCCAAAGACCCTTAGAAGAAATGAAAAGGACATTATTTTTAAATAATGGCAGCAGATTGGAAGGGAGAAGGAATTAAAGATATCGCAGAATTTCAAGGGATGCTGTTCATGTCCCCTCAGAGGCAGGGAAGGCGCCAGGCTTTGCTGTGTAAGTGTTCCTGGAAAATAAAGTTTTAAACGCAGGTGAGGGTTATCCCTGTCTTATAGATAAGACAGAACAAGAGAAGCTGAGTCCTGTGAAATGCTGTTTGCAGTTTGTGTTGAAACATACAGAAAAAGGCACGTAATTCAGCATGTCGTGGACACAAGCAGACAGATAAGTCTTCCAGTGAAAAATACTCCTTACAAAGTATCAAAACATAGGGTAAAAGACGTGATGTATCTTTTGTCATACAAGAGATGTCTGTACAGCAGTGACCACAGCTCAGCAATGCTACCTGGTTTACCTTTGAACTAGGTAACTCAGGCTTGCTGG